CAGAATTTGTTTATTTTTGGTTTGCTGCCCATCCCTGTCTGTGTTTGAGTCACTGCCAGCTGTCCCGGGGAGCAGGGAGGGCTCACTGCTGTCCCCTCCTGAGCTCCTCAGGAGCCCAGAGCAAGAGGCTCTCGTTAAAAATGGAGTGAATTATCCCAGCTTTGAAAGATTCCTTGGAAAACGAAAGGATCCTGGATCCAGAGGGTCCCAGGATAATCAGAGGCAGGATCTGGGGAGGGCTGATCCCTCGGGATGGGGCCGTGCAGGTGGGAATGGGGCTGCAGATCCCATTCTTCAGTGGGAATTCAGGGGTTGGAAATGCCTTTTCTGGCTCCAGGGGCTCCCCAGAATGAGCATTCTGAGGGCAGGAATTCCCTGGGGCTGCAGGGAGTCGGGGAAATAACCAATTCTGCTTTTCTCACCTTTCCTAACACTTTTTTTCTCTGTTTCCTCTGCTTGCTGCTAAGATGGGCCCATCAAGCTCTTCTGTAGGTTCCTTCCTGCTAAGTATTCCCTGTCCCTGTGGGGTTTAACTGCCTTCCCTGTGTGCTGGGGGTGTCCAGGGATGGGCAGGGGAGGTTGGGGACAGCCCTTGGGATGGGGACRCTCGGGAGGGGAGGAGGAATTGGGATCTGAAGGGATTCTGAGCTCCAGCGTCATTCCCATTTCCCTGTCCTGGAATAACCTGGGAACAGCTCATTATCCATTCCATGCATGCACAAGTGGAAAATGCCTTTTTCTGCGGGTGTTCATTTATTTTTATTTTTTTTAGGAATTTATTTTAGGAATTATTGTAAGTAACCTCATTAACTAAGCAGAGAGCAAAACCCTAATTAATGTTACAGCATGGGTTGGACAAATACAATTCCCAAAATACCCAGTGGGATATTCTGGATATTCCCTGTTATCCACCTGGATTCCAGCACTGCAGCACCTCGGTTTCTGTTCCAGAAATTGATTTTTTGGGAAGTAATTTGGGAGCAAAAGGCTGATTTATGACTTTGATTGAATGATTTTGTAGCAAGGAACAATTTCCTGTTTACACTGAGGGAAAAAGAAATGGGAGCTGGATTRTGGGAATGTTGATGTGGCTTCCAGATATAGGATAAGGAATAGGGATAGGGATTGGAATAGGATAGGAATGGGAATAGAAATGGAATAGGATTAGAAATAGGAATAGAATAGGAGTAGGAATAGGAATAGAAACAGGAATAGAATGAGAATAGGAACATGAACAGGAATAGGAGTAGAAATAGGAACAGAAATAGGAATAGGAATCGAAATTGGATAAGAATCGGAGTAGGAACAGGAATAGGGAAGAGTTCTTCCCTGGCTCCAGCATTGCTGTTTGGGAGCAATCAGGCCTCATTTCCAGGTTTCATTCTCACAGCTCCTCTCTGTGAATTCCCAAATGAATCCCAAGTTCCTGGATTACTCCGATTTGCTGGGAATTCCCTGGCAGAGGGCAGAGGCTGTGCCTGGGGTAGCCTGGGATCACCTCTGCAGGCAGCAGCTCCTTCCTGGGGTTCCTGTGGGGTACCCAGC